CACAGTGTGGCTGAGTTACAGTAAAGGAGACTGAAAATCACTGCTTATTACTTTGTCTGTACTGCAGCCAGGCTGCCAGCCTCCCCCGAGGCTGCAGTAATTGACTTGTCCAATCCCTCTTTTCAACACGTTTTTCTTTCTTCACTCCTTCTGTCCGGTGTTTGCCAGAGGGTCCGAGCTGACACACAAAAGATATCGGCCGCAATGTCAAAATTGGGGAACGGACAAAACTGTGCAGCTGTAATGAATGCTGCCACGCGGCCTGCGTCGCTTTGACTTTTAATATCCCGAGTGTCCGCTTCCACCGCTCACGTTAATGAATATTTAACGCCCCTGCCATTGTTCAGAACCTTCCACTTCCCGCACAGATCCAAAGGTCTGGCTTGATTCATCGTGTGTTGAACGTCTCTGTGCAGGCTGCAGCAGTCGACTTATCCAGGACCTCAGCTGGAAAGGCTTTCCTTGTTTGTTCGAGGCGAGGACACATGTTGCTATGGCCAAATGGGAGGAGTTACTGCTGCTATCGAGGGCTTATGGAAGTAAACATCCCACGTAGACGGTTTCTTACAGATGGAGCATTTTAAGGCTCCGTCTGCTTCATGGCTACAGACGTCCTGCGTGTTAGCACGTGTAGCTACTTACAAGCTCGCAATGAAAAATGATGGTATACCTGTAACATCCCGTAACACCGTCTTCTGTGCAGGTTTGCAGTGGCATTTGTTGACACCTAATTCTAGCTTCAGGTTCATGAGGATGGTAGTCCCAGTATGTATGGCACTGCTGCAGCCAGTCTCACCACCAGTCTGTCGCAGAAGCATCTGAATCTTGACACACAATCACTATTTTGCATTCGTTATATTAAAAGTCAGTAGGTAGTCGTACAATTACAGACACCTTGAGTATATAAAACATGATTTTTTTTCAGAAATAAATGGTAAAATGGTAAATGGACTGCACTTATACAGCGCTTTTCTACCTTAGCGGCACTCAAAGCGCTTTACAATGGACCCTCATTCATCCATTCACACACATTCATACACCAACAGAGCTGCCATGCAAGGTGCTGCCTGCCATCAGGAGCAACTTCAGGTTCAGTGTCTTGCCCAAAGACACTTGGCCTGTGGAGGGGCGGGGATTGAACCGCCAACCTTACAATCAGAGGACAACCCGCTCCACCACCTGAGCTACAGCCGTCCAAATACTGAAGGCTAACCAGCTGGAAGCTGTTGGTTTCACTAAGTCATGTATCATACAGCGCTAGTAGACGAACTGTCGGACTAATTTAATAAGGATCGTAGGCCTCTATATCAGAGGTTTCTGAGTATTTATGTCTGACGTAGCCGGCAGCACCACAAAACAATCCTTCCTCAGCATCACCTGTCAGGATTTAAATACGTAGTAAGAACGTTTTTCCAAGGTTGACAATAACTTGTATGATCAGCCACATGAGGAAATAGTCTCAGATTAAAGTGACACCAAACATCACAGGAAAACAAATGGAAGCCTGAGATAAACTAATCATTCACTAATTACACGCCCGTTCCTTTCTGCTGATTATTTCAACTTTTCATTTTGCCCTCTTACCTATTTCAGATATCTATCCATTTATCTAAATAACATAAATATTTAACCATTACCTTCTGTTTTGACATTTATCAATTATTTTTGGCTGAGTGTTTCAAATATACTGGGAAAAAAAAGCGAACACTTTGGGGAACAGGATTACATGTTTGGACAGATCCATAAGAATCGTTCTTAGACAGGAATCGGTGGAGATGTGGACGTTCTTATGTTCTGTGCAGTCAGCTCATTGTAGCTCACCACTTACTGTCACATCGATTAGAAGAAACAGTGGAAATTCTCCACAATTGTTCTTCAGCCATCAGTTTTTCATGCTCAGAATTTCGTATTGCTGACACACATTGCAGGACAGTACTACCACTAACCCTCACACACACACACGATAGCCCACAGTAGCATCGTTTCCTATATAAACTCTCATTCACCTGCAGCTGATTGGCTGACGGCTAGAAATGGAAACCGGTGGATAATTGAGCTGTACTGGGTCTTTTAAGGCAACGCCTCCAGCTCTAGGCAGTATATGGCGATAAGCAGTAATGGATGACACGGAATAGACGTGTTTCCTGTGTGAGAGGAAATGTAAACACAGCCTGTGTGTGCATGCTGTTCTCCCTCAGGGGTCACGTATGTTCCCCGTCTTATCTATTAGTCATTAGGCCAACATGCTGCGTTTTGTGTTTTCGTTGAAGTTGGATTGTGAGATTCGTGTAAATGTGCCGCAAGCGACTGTATCCCCAGTAAAGAGCTGAGTTGTCCTGGAAACAGGGATCATGTTTTACCCCTGCTGGAAGAAATAGAGACACAGTTTATATTTAAATACAGTCATGACTCGATAATCCGACCCTTAACAATCTGAAAACCTTCCTATCCGACAGGTTTTTAGGAAAAACCACCAGAATCCATAAAAACAGCCTTAACATAGCGACAGCCTTGGATTGTGACTCCGACATGACATTTAATGTCACCAATCAGGATGACGGCGTATTATCTGACTGAACAATCCCACAGATTGGCTACGTTCACACTGCAGGACTTGATGCTCAATGAGGATTTCTTTGTGACTTCCTTCACGTTTCCACTTCAATGCGACTTGTATGTGATCTGCTGTGTGAACTTCATACGAGCCAAAAGTGTCCCGCATGCGCAGAAGAGGACACGACGACGTCACACGCAGCGAGCGTGCTCAGTGTTTACAGAAGTAAACATGGATGGTAACGGTGGAGCGTATCTGCCACTCCCCCGCCGCCACCGATGGAGGAAACAGAAGTGTGAGCGCTAACTAAACTAGCATCAGCAGCCAAGTACTGCCTGTGTGTTCTGGACACTTCCACCCCGTCAGAGCGCTGCCCCGGGGTGGAAGTGGCCGGAATGAGCACAAGCCACCGGTCAGTTAGGCTGAAATCCAGCGATGTGTAGTGTTCTAACAACACACTAGTTATTATAACAACTATGAACAATAATGAACAACTAATGAGCCTTCCAGCATCAAGCCCTCCTTGTATCTGGACCTCCGTCTTGACAATCCGACAGCCTTGATATCCGACATAGAAGAAGGTTTTACATTTAGTGTCAGATTATCGAGTCACGACTGGACCTTTCTTTCAAATTTTGTGATCTTTAATGGCCGCTAGTCGACAGCAGTAAGGCCGTGCTTTTACCCTTTAGTAGATGGTTGGTCTGAAGGTGTCATTTCTTCTCAGGATGAAGCCATTAAAGCAGGATGTTCTCATAACACAACACCAAAAGAGTGGATTTGTTGTTTTGTGTCCCAACTTTTCAATCTGGACTTTACGCTGTGCTTTTGTGCTGCTGCCCTTTGATTGAGGCGCGTTAATGAGCTGAACTTTACAGCTATGATTGGGGTTTACAGTGTGATTATTCTTAAAGGACAAGGCCTTTTGAACGCTTTAATTTCTTCGTAGATGAAATCATTGGGATGTAAGTGTCATGCGTGATGCCCTTTAGCTCGACGCTTCAGTCTGTTTGTCTTCATTAGTTTGATTCACTGTCGCATCCTGTTGGGTGTTGTGCTGTTTTTAGTGTTGCCTCTCAGACTTTAAGAGATGCTTTTACACTTATGTGAACAGATGAATGATGCAGAACTCGAGTGTGTTGGTTAAGATATCAGTTTTTAAAGTGAAAACGAGGACTCTATTGTATGAAAAGGTCTGCCACTAACAGCTGTTCTGGAATTGATTTGTTTCTTGACTAAGTTACTGATGAGTTGATTAATCTAAAGCAATACATTTCCACCAAAAGGGCAAAATGACCATTTCATCAAAGTTTATTTTATTTTCTCTGTCTCACTGTGAAAAGCAGCACAGTATGACCTGTAAACAAATGTTTAGATATTAAAGAGCGAAACTGGAAACTCCAACATTACAAGAACAAAAAAGAGGGTCCATTATTTAAGTTAAGTTTCTATTAAACCCCTGAACAAAGTGGAAAAATTCAGTTTCAAGGACGCATGTACAAAGTCAATAATATAGGTCCTAACACAGAGCCCTGTGGAACTCCATAACTAGTAGAACTACTAGAACCAGTGTAGAAACTAGTCCACTGTCTGAAGCTATAAGAAGATCATTAGTGACCTTCACCAGTGCTGTCGCTGTGCTATGATTCATTCTAAAACCTGATTGAAACTCTTCAGACAAACCATTTCTACGCAGATAATCACATAACTGGCAGCAACAACTTTTTCAAGAATTTTAGGAATAGAAGGGAGGTTGGATGTGGGCCTATAGTTAGCTCAAACACCTGGATCTGGAGTCTCTGAGTAGTGGTTTTATTATAGCTACTTTAAAACCCTTCGGTTCGTAGCCTGCTAACAAGTGGGCATCCTTATTCATAACTTATTGTATAAAACAAACGAGTGAGACCCGAGGCAGTGCAAAAAGCCTTTTTAAACTTTGCTGTTTAAATAAAGTTTACTCTAATTGTGGTGACGCCGTGTGACAGCCACACACTCGACACACTGTCTGTGTTGTGGTAGCGCTCCAGTGCTTACACTTCAGACTCTCCCTCAGGTTCGCCTCCTAATCTCTAATGATGATTAATGTGGGCTGTGTGCTTATTGGCAGCGCTGTGTTATTGGCATCCTGACAGAGCTGTTAAGATGGATAACTATGCAAGTGTGCGTATGTATGTGTGGATGTGCGAGCAGCCGCCTCCCCCTCCTCAATTCTGCAGCTTAGTCGTGAAATCGATCGATCTGTGTGGTTGGTCAATGGAGAAAATAGATTTGTAAGAAAGGCTGGAAAAACAACACCTAAATTAAACTTAGTCTTTGGTTTTCTATTAGTTAAATCTTTTATTCATGTGCTGAGAACAATGGAACCTCCAACGAACAGAAAATTGGGATTTATTCACCTCTGTTTGCATAAAAACTCTCTTTTCTGTCTTTCTCTGTGTGTGTGCAGGAGATGGTTCGTCGGGGGGAGATCCTGGACGACAGCATGGAGGACGAGTTCTACCTTCGCCGCTTGGACGCCGGACTCTTTGTCCTTCAGTTGATCTGCTACATCATGGTGGAGATCAGCAACTCAGGGATCTCCCAGGTACTCGTAATAATACATCTTATTTACAGGCGCCTTTCACAAAAAACCTGACAAGCAGCAATAAGCAAAGTACACACATACTGACCGTGGCTGGTCAGATGTCATTCACTTCACCACTGATTTGGTTTAACTGGACTCAGGCAGTGCTTCTTTTGTTGTTTAAAAGTGAGCAGCACAACACTTTTTACCTGCATTTTCAACAGCTGTCATCTGACTTTAATCAATTTATGCAGTTCAGGCAAAAATATCGGGACCCTTGTACTTGATTTAAAAGTGGCCGTCGTCCCTGTCGATGTGGACTCTTTTTGAAGCGATGTACTGTTCCCAGAGCTTCTGAAAAGCCTGTAACGCTCCCCTGAAGTCATGTTCGACGTGTCGAGCACCGTCTGCGATGAGCACTTTATCTCTGTGACAAAACGGCGACTCTTCAGTTTGAGTTTCAGAACGGAAAAGGAGAATGCCATTGGATCTCTCTCAGACGCCACAGCAGAACTTTGCTTTGATCGTTCAGCGCCGGTGGATTGATTCAACCACGTGATTGTTTAAGCGTCTCCTGGTGCTGCTCGCTGCTGTCGGCTGTCCCAGTGGTAGCTGCAGTCCCACCTCTTATCCCCAGTGGTGATCCTCTGCATGGATGTTGGATCATCCTGAGGGACACAGAACGTGACATTTTCTTCTCTGCTTTAGTTTGTGCTTCATGGAAAAATTGCAAATGCACACTTACCGATAGCTGCAAGAACACGTGCAGCACAGGTCCAGTCAGCTGATAGTTAAGGTTTGTTGCATGCCCGTAACAGCCTCATAGTTATTAAGCATTTCTGACATTTTCGTCATGGTAACCATGCCTGCCAGTTAGTAGAAAAGACATTTATACCAATTATTAAAGTGAAGCCGGAGAACCCGGAGAGAACCCACGCTGCACGGGGAGAACATGGAGACTCCACGCAGAAAGATCCTGGGTGTCCTCACCGGGATGCAAACCGGCGACCTTCTAGCTGCAAGGCGACGGTGCTAACCACCTTGCAGCCATGTTGTCTACTCGATAACTGAATAAAATGCTGTGTACCAGTGTACTTTCTTTACAAAAAATAATTCAGCTTTAGAACTCTGTGTCTCTGATCCTTCGTCTCTCCTGTGTGTAGCTGCAGCAGAGGGTCCATCAGATTCTCAACCTGAGAGGAGGTTCTGTCAAAGTCGTGCGTCACATCATGAGAGGTGAGTAGCATAAACATCACCATCCAGCCCTCATTCAGTAACAGCAAGCTTTAGGACCAGATGATGGAAATACACGCCCATTCACTCTTTTTTCCACCACAGTATTATTTACATTTTATACTTGTCAGGCTGTTCTCTGGTGAATGCCTTTAAGTGTGTTCTCTTAAAGAATTCCTAATTTGCCTTGTGTTCTTATTAGTTATCTGCTGTTCTAGCAACAGATCTTGCAGATGTTTACCCAGAAGGATAGCCCCACATGCACACACACAAGGTCGCACACAGCTGCTGTTAATGTGAAATATATGGAAGAATATTCACAAATTAAACAATTATCAATATATAATAAAATGAGCTGACTTCATGGGTTGCATGATGAGTGAAGGCCTGTCTCTGCTGGCAGCCTGTCTGAAGTAAAGGGCTTTCCTCAGTGGACGCACATTTATCTGTAATCTAATTTTATATTTTTACTTAGTGTGGGTTTTGCATCTTTATGGAAACGACACAAACATGGCTGGAACTAGAGAGGACTCCAACATAATAAAACCAAAGTTAAACTCCATATTATTTAAATAAATGCGTCCACAGGTGTTACCAGCACAGAAACAAAAGAGGACTCTATGTACTTTCCTTCTTACCTTTTTGTTTTGTTTCCATTTCTTGCTCTTATAAATGGCGCAATTATGGCGATTTAAAACAACAACAACACGCAAATAAATGAAGGAATGTTGCCCAGTAAGTCCAGTGTGACCTCGCTAAGGAACCCAACTGGTAGTGTGATTAAAACTGTGACTCCCCATCAGAGCGTCTGGTTGATCTGGCCTTTGCCAAAAGCACCAACCCCTCACCTCTGAGCGACAGACAACAGGATATAATGTCTACAGTCTTTCCCTCTACACCTACAGCGATTCCCGTTGCTTCCAGAGAAGCATTTTATTGACACATGCTGTAAAAACCTTTTTCCCAAATGCTTCTCACGCTGGCAAGGAAGCGACGTTTTACAGGAAAATGTTGGTCTAATCCCTGCATGTTGTTTAATAGCAAGCCCGTGCTGTGTTCCTGCCAAAGCGCTTACATTGGAATATAATTAAATACTATCAATAATTCCATACCTCCTTATTCCCTTGAACAAAGGAGTAGACCAAGGTAAGGCTATACTCTGATCAGTACAGCCTTCTTTTACATGCACAGATGTGGCACAGCTGTAAGATAAATCGTAGTTGTCACACAGTCTGCTGCTAGTGGCTGTTAGCAGACCTACTGCAGAGGGATGTGCACTAATCGTACCATAGTCCCAGAAACACAGAGCATTACGGGTCATTTTCGCTCATTTTTGGCTATTTTCAAAATCTCTCTCCTCCTAGGCGGTACGTCGTACACACCTCAGATTTGTCCGGGACAAACTACAGGACGTGGTGATTAAATGGTATTAAAACGCAAAAGTCAGACGGCGTGGAAATGGCAGCCTGAGCAATTTCAATGAAAGGCCATTTTTGTGCATTTTCGCTGTGTTTCCTGCATTCAACGGAGTCCGGTCGGAAGGTCGTTTCACCTACAACTATAAAATTCACTGGGCATGTTCAGCACATCGGGACGCACAAAAAAGTCAATCAGCACCAAGCCCTAAACCCAACAGGAAGTCCGCCATTTTTAAAAAACCTGGTGAGCATTTTGGCGATTTTCCTTCATTTTTGGCCATTTTCAAAATCTATTTCCTCCTAGGGGGAAGATCATACACACCTGAAGTTTGACCAGAACAAACTACAGGAGGTGGTGATTAAGCGTTAGTAAAACGGTCCACAAACGTCTGATGGCGTGGAAATGGCGACCTGTGGAATTTGGCCAAATCGCCATAAAATGGGACGTGCTGTATAACTGGCCTGTACGTTCTCCGATCGGCCTGAAACTTTACACGCGTGTTCCGAGTCTCAGCCAGAGTGCGTTTCATGGCCCAACACGCACGCCGCCACAGCTTGCCAATAAACAGGAAGTGGCTTATAAGTAGGCTACACGTGCTCTGATCTGTCGGAAACTCAACACTCCAGTTCAGACTCAAACCCGGAGCGCCTCACCCCGACCTGCACGAAGGCCAACAATCATACGGCGAGGACCCGTCCATCGCCGCTTGCAGCTTTAATTGTATTTTCAACCTGTGTACAGATGGTAAAACAAAATGCTACAACACATTCTGGTGTGTAAATATGGACTGTAATATATTCATATTGTTACTGGGAAAGGCTCAGAGATGTTCTGGCCGTCAGTCATTCTCACCCAAATACTTCCTGTCCTGCCATATTTGTTTTCTGTTTGGTTTTCAAAGATCAAGCAGGTGTGTCATTGTCTTCCTGTCGTGACAACAGTCCTTCCTGTATCGTCGCCTGATAAAGCTCGAGGCTCCGTTCACACACCCTCTGGCTCTCGGTGGCGTGTAACGCTGCAGATAGAGCCGTCCGTCACACACGGCGGTGCCGGCAATCCTCCAGCCCTCGCTGTGTGTGTGTTTGTTTAGGATTTCATTCCTAAACAAGACAGTGTGTCGCGTCTGTTTTCATCTGCACATATGCACACACGCGCCACAGGACGGTTTTACTGCCTCGTAGGATGTTTGCTGTTAGCGTGTCTCCATATTTATGTGTACATACGCGTCCTTGTTTTTCTCATGTTAGCACACCTGAGACAGATAATCCATGCACGCTGTTTTGTGATTCACTTTGCATATTCCAGCCCGCTCTTGCATGTTTTATACATACTAATGTGTGACATGACGTATTTATTTGCCATAAACCGTGTGGTGATTATGTGTTAAATGGCGTCTGTAGCGGCATGCTGCTGGCACGTCCGTCCGGCTGAATGCGTCTGAGCATGTGCGGCTCGTACTGCGTGTCTTCAGCCTTTGCATTAAGCCGTGGGATCAAAAAGCTGAGCATCACAGGGTTGGGAAAGACGATTGTTTTTTCAGACCCCTCAAATGAAAATCAGGTTTCTTACCTTGTGAACATGCCTGTGTGTTTGCTGTGTGTTTGCTTTTTAATATACTGGAGGACACGTGAGGAGTGAACTCAGCAGAACATCATCGCTGAGCATTTCTACCTTGACAGCCTCAGAAAGGCGGATCCATACTCTCTGGGTTTCTTACGTAACCAGCCCTGATAACCATTCCTGCCGGGGGCTTTGTGGATCATTAGTCTTCTACAGAACTGTTTTCTGGGTCATACCTGTGTTGCTAAATTACTTCACAACTTGCCAATGTGGAGCGCAGAGGAGTTTGACAGTGTTGAGCAGAGTTGTGAGCCGGTGTGTAGAGCGGGTGGAAGGAGAGGGACGCTCAGACTTCAAGGCAACAGTGTGGAGGTCCATCGAAGCCATGTTAATGCATTAAGGGACTACGCTCAAGGAAAAGACAATCAGAGTCTGTTTTGAATACACAAAGACATTTTTTTGTTAATGGACGAAAGGGGACTTTAATATGAAGATAACAGCACACACGTCCAATCAGTCTCTCCTGGAAGGTCTCCATAGGTGTATACGACCAAAATAACTGCATAGCAAATCCATCCATCTTCTCCCGCTTATCCGGAGTCGGGTCGTGGAGGCAGCAGCCTTAGCAGAGCCGCCCAGACTTCCCGATCCACACACACCTCCTCCAACTCTTCCGGGGGGGACCCCCAGGTGTTCCCAGGCCATTCGAGAGACATGATCTCTCATACATATCCTGGGTCTTCCCCGAGGTCTCCTCCCGGTGGGACGCGCCCAGAACACCTCCCCAGGGAGGTCTCCAGGAGGCATCCGAAACAGATGCCCGAGCCACCTCAGTTGGCTCCTGTCGACGTGGAGGAGCAGCGGCTCTACTCTGAGCTCCTCCCACGTGACCGAGCTCCTCACCCTATCTCTAAGGGAGTGCCCAGCCACCCTGCGGAGGAAGCTCATTTCGGCTGCTTGTATCTGCGATCTCGTTCTTTCGGTCATTACCCAGATCTCAGGACCATAAGTGAGGGCTGGGACGTAGATTGACCGGTAAGTCGGTCACATAACAAATGTGTATGAATGAAAGTTTGAGAGAACTTCAGACTTCCAATCGCTCACTGCTGATTGTTAGACTGTCGGTTTGTAAAGTTGTAAAGGTGCTGCTGCTGATGGGATTGGTGGTGGTGTTGGTTTGAAGCTGCAGGACCATCTGACTTCCAGACATGCTGGCATCTTCAGAGTATTTTGGTTTGCTGAGTTAGTCGCAGCAGCACTGTTGGCCATAATCCTGAATCCTGATGGAATCTGTAACTCTGTGAACCTTCATCGTATCCCAGAGGGCCGACGCTTCTGACAGTAAAACCTGGAAAAGGCTGGTTGTCATCCTCCTTTGTCTTTTAGATGAAATGATTCAATGATAAGCCTGAGATAGTTTCTTAAATATCAACAGATAACAGCCTCTGAGCCACAGAATTCCACCAAAACTAGATTTTCTGTCAAATAGCTCACCAGGATTAGTAAAGGTAGAACACAGAGCCTGGTTATGAGCATGCTCAGTGGTGTCTACATTCACAGAACAGCTGTAGCAATGAAGTAGTAGCATCTTGTCTAACTTGCTGACGCTACAGTTAAACCGGGTAATGCCAGCAGTTTCCCTGAAAAACATTTGAGGCAGTTTTTTTAAAGACACAGCTCAGCAGATGGCTGAATGTTGTCGAGGCGTCCTGTTAACGGTCACGTCTCAGATACCTTTAAACCATGGCTCCTCTGGGTTTGACCCGCTGACTTCCTGCCAATGCCCGTCTCATATAATGTGATATTTATGATGTGGTTTGTGGTTTGTTTTCTTTATATTAAATACTCATTTAGCTTTTGAATTGCCCCGAGGGGATAAATAAAATTATTCGAATTGAAAATCTTAATACATAAAGACTGTCTACTCTACATGACAGCTTTTGATGCATTTGGAAACATTACGGGGGTGAGATGAAACTACAGCATCATCTGATCCAGCTGAGCGTCCTACAGCGTGTCCCTCTGCTCGGCTGGAAATGCTTCTCCTTGTATTCGTGGCAGGTCAGTCCCCGTCGCTGACCCGAGTCATGGCGATGCTTCGGACTGTATTGTCCTCTGCTGCGTGCCGCGCTGACAGAAGGATCGTACCGGCCTGCCAGAGACAACGTTCTGCAGAGAGTTGAAAGGTCGCAGAAGCTCTGACCTTTCTGTCTGGATGGTCGACTGCAGCGCCATTTATAAACATGGGCGCATACACGGAGTCACCACGACATCCCGGCCGTGGAGGAGGCTGCAGGCTGTCATGTCTGTGTCGAGTACCATCACCTGCTTTTCTCAGTCAACCCTAAAGTTCTTCTTTTAGGTCAGAGGAATCCCACACTGCTGCAAATCAGAACTAAATCCACGGTGCTGCCGTTCAGAGCTGCTGTCATGACGGTCCAAACCGACACCCCCATAGCTTCAGATGGACACTATCATAAGTTTACTCTTGGTGGTGTGGCCTGTCATGACCTAACTCTCTTTAGAATACACAACAGACTACTGTCTACTGACCTGAACTCAAAACTTGTGTTTCAACAAACCATGCTGGTCTGCTCCCGCCCACAAAGGCAGCCATCTTGGCATGAGTGGGAGACAGGTAGCGAAAAAACTGAAGATCTCCAAGACAGCCGTTCATTACACCAAGAAACAACAACATGGTGCTACCACATTTTTCTACCCACCAGATGACCGAGCACTCATCCGTTCTGTGTCAGGAATCATCATCAGACCTCCAGGGACCTTAAAATGAGTGGCCACTGTGGAGAAATGTGACTTGTTGGGCGAGGACAGTTGGAAACCGACTTGTTGAAGCTGGTCTGAAGTCACACAGGAAGAAGCCCTTCATCAACCAAAGGCAGAGGAAAGCCCGGTTCCTCTCTGCTGGGATCACAGGGATTGGACTGGTAATGGTTGGGCTGAGGTTCTCTTCAGGGATGAATCCAATGTTCAGTTGACGCCCACTCCAGACAACTTACTGGTGAGGAGTCCTCATTAAAGCACTTCATGATGCTGGATGGTCTCTGAGACATAAGGTGTTGTCACAGTGGGGTCAAGTTTGCTTTGGACTCTGAGACCGGTTCTTAGAAAATGCTCCAAGGAAGAGGCAGGAAATGAAAGTTAACTGAAGCAGATGTGAGACACCTTAAGATCTGAAGTACTGGAGACAGAAGCACTGCTGATCTTCAGACGGAGGTGCTTCTAGATCAGAGTCTGAGAAAGTCTCCAGAGTGACCACAAGAGACGGCTGATGGAACAAGGCTTAGAGGGACGGAGAGCTGCTGAGAAGCCACTATTGAGGCCTGCAAACATCCAGAAACGCCTCAGATTTACCAGCGAGCACAAACACTGGACTGTTAGTATCGGGGTCTGTTTTTAATTTCAGAGCCAATAATGCAGAGTTAATGAAAACATCTCTGTCGGTCATGTGTTGACTTTAAGAATGTCGTGTTGTTGTTGTTATTAGATCCTGTATTACCTGTAACAGTAAATAACTCTTCTTGTTCCTCCGGCTCTCAGAACACTCACCATCCCTCCTCAGTCCCATCACATCTGTCTCTATCTTTCATGAACAAACTAATAACATGAAAACGTCTCTCTCACCCTGAAACAACAACATCTCCTCCATGTCTTTGACGTCCATACTTCTTCATCCTAAACTCTAGCGGGCTCTTGTCAGAAGAGCCTCCTTCATTGTCTCCTCTCTGCAGTGTCTCCCAGAGAAAAATATCTATTTCTTCATCTTTCTGCCTCGACATCCCTGGCTTTGCTGTGTAATCCCTGCCTCAGAGGCTGGCTGACAGACAGAGTGGAGGCCCGGCGTTTACCGGGGCTGCCGCGGCTGCAGCTTTCTCTTTCTTGCACATTAGACTCACAAATCAAGTGTCGGACGGTTTCAAAGGCCTCGTGACACACAAAATGAAGAAAACAAATGCTCAAGTATGAGCTCTGCACAATGCACCTGGACCTGGTCCTCAGGACACAGGCTGCATTTAAGTACGGTGGCTGTTGTGGGACATCTCACTATATGAAAGCTTTTTTTTTTCCTTGATCTTGTGGATGAATTTCTTTGCAAAGCTAGAACAGAATAGAAACTGTCTGGACTGGAGTGAAAGGCTGGTGAGTGATAGCAGCTCTCTAAAGCATCCTCTCTCTCAGATTTGTCCTTTTACATTACAAACTATAGGTTCCATCATCTTTGAAGTCTTTCGAATTATTTAGTTTTTCAAATCGGAAATACCCAATGAGGTGCTGCCTGTGGGCTCATTAGTCATGCTTTAATCAGCTGTTTGGTTCATTCTTAAAAAGAAAGAACACACTAGTGATCAGAAACCCAGTGAGGTGGATGATACAAGAAGCCTTTCACAGCAGCTGGCCAGACCAGGAACACTCTCCAGGAGGGAGGAGGATCTGTGTCAAAGTCAACCATCAGGAGGAGACGTCACCAGAGTGAATACAGAGAGTTCACCACAACATGTAAACCATCGGTGAGCCTCAGAAACAGGAAGGCCAGATCTAAAAGAGCCTGTTGTGGAACAACATCTATGGACAGATGAGACATCGTCAACTTGTCCCAGGATGATGGGAAGAGAAGGATGGAGAAGGGAAGGAGCTGCTCCACATCCAAAGCGTAGCAGCTCATCAGTGCAGCGTGGTGGTGGTGGTGGTGGTGGTGTGATGGTGGGCATGTATGGCTGCCAGTGGAACGGCTTCTCTTATATGTATTGATGATGTGACTGCTGACAGAAGCAGCAGGAGTCAGAAGTCATTGGACGGCGCTTCACGGTGCAGATGGACAATGAGCTGAAGCTACTGTGGAAGTAACCGGAGAGTTTTTTAATGTTCTGCAACGGCCAATCAGTCACCTGACATGAATACAACTGAGCAGACATTAGACACAACTGAAGGGAAAGTGCCCCAAGAACCAGCAGGAAGTGAAGACAGCAGCAGTAGAGGCCTGGCAGAGCATCACCAGGATGGAACCCAGCGTCTGCTGATGTCTGTGGGTTCCAGGCTTCAGGCTGTCAGTGACTGCAAACCAACCAGATACTGAAAGTCACCATTTTATTCATGATTATGTTAGTTTGTCCAATTACTGTTGGTCCCTTAAAAAAGTGGCGGGCACACATAAAATGTGATGTAACTCCTACATCGTTAGTGATCAAGTAATTTTCATTCTCACATTTACCTTCTTCTCCTCGGTGCCGGATGATCATGGCTCTTGTGAACAGGATGCTGTGTTTAACCTCTGAAGTCGAGCAGCTCCACCTGTGCTGTCACGCCAACTAATTCTGAGATTTTTCTTTGTCTTCTGCAGAGTACGCTGAGAGCATCGGGGATGGAAAGAGTGACGAGTTCAAGGAGGCAGAGCGGAAAAGGATCATGGACCTTGTTGACAGTTTCTAATCCTGCTGTTTGTCTCACACACACACACACACACACACACACACACACACACTCGAATACAAATGATGTGTCACATGTGGAACTGATAAACACACAGAAGCACTGCTAAAAATAATTGGACTAAAAGAAATTATTGGATTGTTTTCATGCCTTTAAGAGATGTAATAACAGTTTACTTGTGGCTGAGTCGTTGACATCCAGTGTGGGGATCACATCACCTGAGAAACCCATGAAGCCATCAAGTTATTTAACTGTTATTGGTCTAATAAACACCATCTGTGTGTCAAGGAATTGGTTAAAGTCCGGTTAGGAGTGTGCGTGGAGAACCGGCGGGAGCAGAACATGTAGCTTGAGTGGAACCCACGGCCGCCGTGAGCCACGGTGCTGTTTGTGTTCTGAGCTGTGGTGTTGAACGCTGCAGGGTGATGGGCTCGCTCCCTTCACCTGCTCCGTTTGCTTTGGATTCAGTTGTATAATATTTTCTAATAAAAAACATTTGGTAATAAAAGTGACGCCTGTTTGCGTTGTTTGATTAAAGTCACGGTTTAGCGAGTGAGCGCGCTGATAGCTGCGTCTCATTCCGCCTGCTCCTGGTGCACCTCCAGCGTATCTGCAGCTTCCTTTGGCAGAGTGAGGATCCTCACAGAGAGGCAGACCTGCTTCATCTCTATCTGTCTCAACCCACCCACGGATGGATCTCGGCAGCCTCCCGGAGCTCTCAGCCCACTGCTGTTTTTCTTTGTGATGTCGTTCACATCGGTGTGGAGGTGTGTGACGCTCCAGCTGTACACACACACAAACAGACCGACTGTATTATTCACCAGGATTCACTGCGTCTTGAAGCAGAAAAGAAACAAAAACATTCTCAATTGGGTCATTCAAAGATGAAATAAAGATCCTAATTAGAATTTTATACCACGACAAGTTAGGAACATTCTCTTTGAAATGACTTTAATTATGTGTTGGCACTAGCTGTCATTCGTTGGCAGCTGGAGCACAAAGTTGAGTAAAACTGTGATTCTTACCACTTTTGAGAGTCAGTATCTCAAAGGTGTTGTCTTCATGACGTTGGGGGATATTGAAGCGTCTCATATTGGACGATGTAACACAAACATTATGTTGACTCCAGCTGTAAACCTTGTGTGTTTTATGGGTGTATAAAAAGGTCTCTGGTGTTAATATTTCCTCACTGAACAGGCCATAGAACTTCAGCATATGCATTGAAGTAACACCTCTAGTTTGGGGGTAATGTGTTCTCAAGTTTGAAGTCTGCACCTTAAATGCTACCAAAAAAAAAGATATTTTTCATTATTTCTTGTAGCAAAAACTCACAGTTGTGACCCTAAAGCTTGTTGATGATAATCCGACACCCTCAGATTGTACTAACCTGATCCGAGGTGGTCGCACGGGAGCCGTGTGGTGAACTGCGGTGGAGTGACCCGGTTCCTTGTGCATTGTGAGAGTGTGTTTGCACTGACTTGTAGTGACCCACTTATTTTAACCAACTGTATTTAGTCTGATATGAATCTT